TCATGTTTCCTTGGGTTTTTCCTGGCGTATCTTTCTCTGCCGTCGGGCGTCTTTGAGCGAGTGTGAAGAAAAAGTCGCCTGTTTTCTTCGCCGCGTGGAGTGCAACGTTGTACGTGTTTCGTTGGTTTGCGGTTTGCGGTCGTTGATTCTTGTTCGTGGTGTTCTTACGTACCGGTATAGGTACCTAGGTAACTCTCTTTGGTTCGTACCCAAAGCAAGGCACGCAGCAGCCAACCTTTTGTGAGGGGGGCAGAAAGGATGGCGCACTCTGTGCCCACCGCCAATCATCGTATTGGGCGAGATACCTTCGACTTACAANGCGAGTGTGAAGAAAAAGTCGCCTGTTTTCTTCGCCGCGTGGAGTGCAACGTTGTTGGTGTTTCGTTGGTTTGCGGTTTGCGGTCGTTGATTCTTGTTCGTGGTGTTACTACGTACCGGTATATGTACCTAGGTAACTCTCTTTGGTTCGTACCCAAAGCAAGGCACGCAGCAGCCAACCTTTTGTGAGGGGGGCAGAAAGGATGGCGCACTCTGTGCCCACCGCCAATCATCGTATTGGGCGAGATACCTTCGACTTACAATACTTTCTTGCTCCATTCAAGCCCGTATCGTGTTTCCAACTTTTTTTGCGTTGAGAAGGTTGATCTCGCCGAGGCCATGTGCTCAGGCGTTCCCTCACCTCGGTTGAGCCACTTTGTTTTTTGTCCCGCGCCCCTTTAGGTACCGTAGGTCCCTAAATACACTACACGTGTTGGTGCAGGCATGTATACCTATCACACCTCCGCAATACCACACCCTTTCAGGTGTACGGCAGCAGCGGTTCGACTCTATACGGTAATGGTGTGCAGTGTATCGGTATCACACCCCTCATTTTATCACACCCCAAAACACACGCTGTGGATGTTCGTTTGTTATGACACCCCCAAACACACGCTGTTGGTGTTCGGACGCGCTATCACATCCCCTTATTTATCACACCCCCTTGCTGTGGGTGTTCGGACGCGCTATCACACCCCCTTATTATCACACCCCCTTGGGACCGGTGCGAGCTGCACTTTATCACCGGGGGTACACAATATATCACACCCCCCACAGTATAGCAGACCGGGTGGTAATATTTTCAAACCCCAAAATGTTACCACCGGGGTTTCTTATATTGTGTCATTTACGGTACGCCGACGGCCAGAAAGGCCCGCGCATCTACATTTTCCCGCCTGACCCCATCAGTGCCGACCCAACTCCACCACCACACGCACGCCTCGCGGCGGATGGGCAGCAGCAAGAAGGTTTCCGTCATCCCTTGAGGGTGAGTCTAGCCCTGCTCGCCAGAAAGACCCCCGCCTTCACTACAACCCATGTCTAAGCACGGGGGGAAGAAGGGAGAAAGCTGAAAAAATAAGAAATAGTACAAGCTGCTGGGTATACCCTCCACGATGTCGGACAGAAGTGGGCACTCTGTTGAGGCCTTGCGCGCCGCGGCGGTATTAGGGCCGAATATGTGACTGAAAGTGGGAAACAATGGATGGCCATGCTGTGTATGCCCATCACCATACAAAAATGTCGAACGTGCCGCCGGCTTGATGTCGGAAATAAAAAAGAAAAGATGCGGGTGAGATTTGTTGCATTATGTACAGCATTAGTGGCATAGACTGCGTAATCAAGAGGAATGCCGATCGATGTAGGACCCAAATGTCGAAATACTTCAGTGCGGGCAGTTCGCTATACCGAAATGAAGTGGTAAAAGAGCAGAAACTTACACCGGCTGGGGGCGGCAATCCTTGTTCCAAGAGCATGCCCAAAAAGTACATTACCATACTACAGCAGTACCGGCATTTGCTTAAGTTCACATTCTCGCACGTTTTTTTTTTTTTTTTCCGACATCAAGCCACCGGCGGTTTTTGTATGAACATCAACGCTCAACTTTCAACTTGCTCCCACGAGCCAGCCCACCTTGCCTCAGGAATAACTTGCCTTCCGCGCCAGTCTGTCTCCTCTCTTGTTCCTTTCCCTTGCTCGACACTATTATACCCTCTGCTCAATCAAGGAAGGACCTCGTCATCCAACACTTCAACACACCACGGCTCCTCTGCTTGTGATCGATGGGCAGCAGCAACGAACGGTGAGATGATCGATCAAGTTTTCGGGCGTTGGGGAAAAGGCCTCATTGTTGTGCCATGCTTTGACGAGATACAGCAGAAACGCCCTCCACGCCTCCCCTACTCTCCGGGTTTCTTAGTCAACATCTTTCACGCAGAGGTGCATCGTTGGTTGGGGTAATCGTCAGCGTGCTGTAAGCGCACATAGAACACAGACGACCTACACACTCAGCCCCATTGTTTTTTTCACGGGGCCGTTGTATGAGCCGCTCTCGAAGGCTTCGGGTGACGGCTCCTCGAGTGCAGGTCAGGGAGCACACTCGAAACCGAAACTAACTCAGTTTCTGCCGTGGCTCTTATCGAACCAAGTACACGTCCATGGTGGTGTTGTACTCGTGGGTGTGCCCGCAAGCAGGACGCCTGGGCGAAACAATAAGCGATAGACCATGTGGTTCACAGTCAATATTGAAAAATTCGCCACGTACTGCACACAAGCATGCGAACTGAGATCACCAGCCGCTTCAAAGCCTTAAAAAAAAAAGAAACTCCATGTTACACCGTGAGCTGGCCGATGGGACGAGCACGGAGCTGCAAATATGGTGGTTGGACTGTACGACCGACTGACCATCATGTCTTGGATGGTAGAACGGATAGACGGGCTCGGAGGAAAGAACGTAAACAGGTTTGATGGAGAGAGGGGGCGGACCGTTCGGGTAGGCTCGGGCCGTTCGGGTAAGGTCATTGGAGCCGAAATCTTGGCATCAGTTGTAGACGGTTTGGGAGGATTTGATTGTTGAGCTACAGATAAATAGAGGTACACACGACACAACACCTCAAGGTTCGGGACTTCCCACCAGCATCATTTGTGGTGGCAATACTATCGCATCAGTAGTAGTACTTCCGAGTACCTCGTCGTGTCTTTAACCTTGTAAGCTGCACGTCACGTGTGGACAACGCGGAACATTTTTTCGCATCCCACACATTACACCGACCGCCCTCGCCCCGAGTTTCTATTTGACTACCACTACGATATGCTCCCTGTTTCTCAAGAGCTCCCATCATGGATCATGGAAACGAGTTCGTAACTGACGCGACAAGGGTCGAGAAGTTCCTCGTCCCTCAAGTAAGTGTATTCACCGACAAGAGTTACCCTCAGCGCGACACAACCGCGGCTGACTATACCTCATGTGCTTGCAAGGTTTTGTCGTACCCGACAACGGTTTTGGCCATATGATGATTCCAATTGACGTTTGCAGTCATATTCATCGCAGAATTGGGGTCGGGTCGCGTAAGGTTGCGTGCGACGAAGTTGAGAAGGTTCCGTCGTGCGTCAGAACAACCGCCATGTGTTCTACAATTCTCCAAGGCCTCCTTCATCTTTAGTCGGATCACAACACAACTCTTGTTCGACTGATGTATAGACTACATGGCATACACAGACTCTGGATGAACTCGAAAATGAAATCAACAAAATCGTGCACCGTCTCAATTACATGTGCCTGCAAGGTGGTCATATCAAAGTACGGATGCTTCATCGTGTACAAGAAGTCGGCATCTCCCACGACATATTCGAAATCGTGAAGGCACGGGTACGAATCCTGAATGCTGGACCAATTTTTGTGAAGACAGGTCCTGGCAGCGAGCTGATTTATGAAGACAACCTCGCTGTTTGTGGGCACGGGAAAGTCACGAGATGCCATGTTCAGCGAATAGTCATTCAGTTCGGTTTTAAAGTACGTCAGCACGAGATTGTTTATGCTCGCTTCACCGATTTCCCTGCACGTTTCAGAAGCTCCTCGTCAGAGACCCCTGTGGTCATGACACACCAAAGCTTTCTTTGAAAAGAACCACATAAAATATTTTTCGATTTTGTTGACATGGCAAACCTACAAGGAGGGGTCCGTTGTTCTGATTGGCCAATTCCAACAGCACCACTGTTAGAAAAATATTTCCAGAACAGCAAATACTCCGGAGTAAGCGTGCTCGGCGCCGAGGTGGTAGCGCTTCCTCTGGAGTCACACACACACGGTACCACTGGGATGAGCTCTCCATCGGTACAGTGCCCTGGGGGCCCATGGACTGCTTTACACTCCGCCGCCAACGATGGATCCTTCCAACGAGTTTTTGGGATTGTGTCGTCAGGATTCATCCAAATCAATCAAGGAACTCCGGAAGGCTGGACGCCTTTCATGCTCGCTGCTGACAGTGGACACTCGCGCATCATGAGTTTCCTATCGCCGGGATCATGGGAGATGAGGGTGTCACGGCGCTACACGTTTCCGCTAAAAACGGTCACGTGGTTGTCACCATCATGTTGATACGGGCTGGGGTTGATGTCGGACTATCTTGCTCCAGTTCTGGTGGATATACCCCGCTGCACCTAGTGGCACAAAACTGATGGTGTGGAGTCATGCAGGTGCTCATATACGCAGGCGCCGATGTGGATCGTTGTCTAGAGGACGGTGCGACGGCCATGCATCTCGCGGCGGAGAGTGGGCAGCTAAAGGCGCTCAAGGTTCTTCTTGCGAACAGGGCCAATTCTATGATTGCAACAGTGGAGGGTTACGTACCGCTTGATGCGGCGACCGAAAATGCTCATGTGGACATCGTACGCGTGCTGGTCAAGCGTGTGGGGATTGAGGGGTGCGGTGGCTCCGACGGAGGAGCAGGATTTCACGTGTGGCATGAAAAGTATAGACTACATGTCCATTGTTTCTTGATGGCAGGTACTGTGGAAAGCCGGACGGCGCCTGTGTCGAGGAGAACGAGGACGGGTGTGTTTAGCCCTCAAACACGTGACTTCGCCGTCGAGGATCGGAGCATTCTTCGCATCATGGCAGAAAAACACAAATTACAAATCCCGGAGGAGGAGAGCGAGCTGGTCGGCGATGTGGTGCAATCGGGCCGCTTTTCTTGGAACTGTGGAATTACCGGGTAACTACGGTTAATAGTGTGGTATGGGACAGGGCTGGTGTAAACTGAGTGCAGCCAAGCGTACTACTTGGAAAGAGAGCAGGTGGAAAAGAGCGGGACATGTTTGAAGGATACTGAACTATCGGGAAGTTGTGAGGCGGATTGGTATATATAAGGGAAATAAGTTGAGAGATTCGACAGGTCTTTTGAGAGGAGGATTGGATAGAATCTTAGATTCTTGGAATGCAAGTATGGACTGTCAGCAGAATTGTGTTAAGAGTAGGATTTTGGAAAACTGTGGACATGTGTGTGAACGAAGAGACACCCCCAAGTGGTCAGTCTGACCCGCCCGGAGTCTTCTCCCATGTTGTCCCGATATGGTCAGAACTTCTAATAACACGACACTTTGATCGCAGCTCTACTGGACTTAAAACATTACCAGGACAAGAACCTCGGCATTCAACACAAATACGTACGCGGTGGGTAGCGCACCCCGATCCCCCGATACTGGCACCGAAGGAGGGGCTTGTACTGGTCGTCTTGCGCTGTGGTGTGGTGTGGTTGCGATGACCAATACACCGAGGCAAAAAGGTGAGAAAGACAAGGAGGAAGAGGGTGGGAAGAGGGACTCACCGAAGGGTCATGGAATGACTTTGAGGAGGACAACGCGCGACATGACGCGGCGTAGTGTAGAGGGCAGGGAGAAGAGGAGGATGGATGCGAGCACCACTGCTGTGAGCAGAGGGGATGGGGGGAAGGGTACGCTCACCCGCTCCCGAGGGGACGCGTGGGGGGTGGAATCGGAGGAGGGTTCGATCGACGTGTCCGAAGAAAGATACAACGGAAAACAGAAAGAAGGGCAAAAAGGAGGAATACAAGATGGGCACAAAGAAGGGAAGACAGATGGGCACAAAGAAGGGAAGACAGAAGGGCACAAAGGAGGAAAGGTTGAACAAGGAGACGGAAGGGGAAAAGGAGGAAACATGGGCAGTGACCCGCCCCAGGCGAGTAGGGAGGAGGATTTCCATGAGATGGATCGGAAGTTAAGCATAAAGGGGACGGACCCAAAAGATATGATACAGCAGATGTCTGGGTCTGAAAATAATCCGACGATTTCCGCTCCGTCGATTCCTCCGTATACCAACGTAGCTCCGGTGGCAGCTTCAGCCAACAAAGGCAAAGCAAAGGCCAAGGTCAAGGAAGGGAAGGTGTCGTCTGTCGTGCAAGTGGTCAAGTATGACGGAGAGAAGGAGGAGGTCTCTGGTGGTTCTGAGGAGGTGAGANAAGAACTCGATGATGAGGGGTTGGCCATGGACATGCAGGAACAGGGGGTGGCAGAAGCAAAAGAAAGAAAAAGGACAGAAGAAGAAAGGAAACAAAAAGAGGAGGAGAGAAAGAAAAGAAAAGCGGATTTGCGCCTCGCCCTTGAACCACAAGACAACAACAGCAGTGGGTTTGAGGAGGAAGAGGTAGTATCTCCAAT